GGCCTCCCAAAGTGCTGGGATTACAGGCGTGAGCCACCATGCCCGGCCAGATCATTTTTTTAAAAGGAGATTTCTGTACCAGCTCCCAACTCAGGTAAAAATCCACTGAGAAAATAAATAACTGCCGAAGGCAATGGCTCGTGCCTGTAGTCCCAGCACTTTGGGACTACTACGCTTTGGCCGAGGAGGGAGGACTGCTTGAGCCCAGGAGTTTGAAACCAGCTTGGGAAACACAGGGAGACTCTGTTTCAACAAAAAAAAATTTTTTAATTAGCCACGTATGGTGGTGTGCACCTATGGTCCCAGCTACTCGGGAGGCTAAAGCAGGAGGATCGTTTGAGCCTGGGAGGTCAAGGCTGCAGTGAGCCGAGATCATGCTGCTGCACTCTGGCCTGCACGACAGAACGAGACCTTGACTCAAAAACAAACAAACAAACAAACAAATTTAAGTGATGAATTAAGGACTTAAGTAATATCGTCAGTACAAGTTTGACAAAGCTTTTCCACAACGCAAGAGGGAAACAAGAGGACAGACCTCTACAAAATACACCAGTACAATAAGCCTTACCTTTTCATCTTCAAGATACTCAATGTCCGCTGTGTTATAGCCGTCTCTGTGACGGTGGCTAAGCACTCGGAACCGACTGATGCCAATCGCGTCTACAACAGAACTTCCATCGGGAAACGTTCTCACGTCCTTAATCTCCAGCATGCATCCATATTCTGAAAGCCTGAAGAGACGGTTGGGAGAAATGACTGTGATTTTTAAAAGGCAGGGGGCCTTTAGTTTTCCCTGGATGAGGGTTTGCTTTCAGAAGGAATACAAAGCCACACAAAACGGTGTCTCCACATCAGACCAGCAAGGTTACTGTCGCTGAGAGACATGTGCACATGGTCGCTTCTGTTAGATGCTAAATATAGTGGTGATGGTGGCTGCAGGGGAAGGGCTCCGGGTGAGACAGGACTTGTGCCTTAGCAGTTCCAATGGGCTAGTGTTTTGGGAAGGAGTCGAGAGATGGGAAGAGATGAAATCTCAAATGTGGCTCCTCAGCCACCTTGGCGGGGCAACATCAGGACTGCCCAGCTGGTGTCATGCACACACTCGGCTTTCCAAAGCTCTCCCCAGCTCTTACCCATACTCTGTAACTATCACCCTTATCCTAGTGATATTCTCATGCTACCACGTGCCAAGTACCGCATGGAACAGTTTATAATACATATGCATTCAAGCCCACACTTAAAATTTGATTCATCAAAAGTCAACAAAGTGAAAACACAAGCTATAGGAGTTCCACGTGCACTGAGAATACAGAACACTAAAAAGAATGTGAAAAACAACAAGAAAAAAAACCAGATAAACCACAAAACATATGTCTCTTGAACCCATCAGAGAGTGGAGGTTGCCCAGGGTAACCAAACAAAGATCCCACAGGGAGAGAGTAGGCAGAGCCCAGGAAGAGACACGAAAGCGTGTAGGAAGAATTCAGCTATTTTTTTTTTTTTTAAAACAAATTGCCAATGACCTTGTGTGGGCTGGCATCAGAGTGCAGGTCTGGAGAGCTGCATTCACAAAGGGAGTTTGCATCACACACAGGCTCTTAACCACAGATAAGAGGCTCCTTGGTGAGTCATGCCCTGCAGTGAGGCAGGCGTGGATGAGCTGACGTTTATTTGGAAGCCTCTGCTGGTGCTGGTGCTGGTTGCTGGGGCAGCAAGTCCTCCACCTTCAAAGGCACTCAGCTCCTCCTCCCTCCTGCCTTTGCCCACAAGGTCTTCACCTCATTCCAATTCTGCCAGCTCTGCCCTCCCCAACCAAAGTGCTGTGGAAAGCAGCCCCCGGCCACTGCCTTCATCTCCTTGCCTCCCCTTCACTCCTCCATATCCTACCGTTCCATTAAAATGCCTCCAAAAGTAGTCAGAGATGCCCTCTGAATTGCTCAGATCACTGGACAGGCTCCTGTCTGACCTCCCTAAGGCACGGCCCTGCAGACTGTTGCTGAGCCAATGCCTCTGCTCTCCTGCACCCTCTCTAACCAGCCCAGCCCTTCACAGCCCCTACCTCTGCATGTCCCTGCTGCTCCGTACTACCCAGGATGGTGCTCTAGGATATGGCTATTCTCATTCCAAAGCTCTCCCCAGCTCTTACCCACACTCTGATTGTAACTATCACCCGTAACCCAGTGATATTCTCACGCTACCACGTGCCAAGCACCACACACAGCAGTTTATAATATATACGAATTCAAGCCCACACAACACAGAGGCTCAGAGGAATTAACTTCTCTAAGGCCACAGGGAGATTCAAAGCCGAAATGAGAATTCATGGCAGTGTGATTCTAAAGTCCTCATGGTGAGCAGCTTTACTACACATCCCTCGAACTAAAGAGCAGCAATGATTCAAACCGCCACCTGGATGCCTCTACTTATACACTTAATAAAACTCTGTCTTCCTGGCTTCTAACAGGATGATCTCATTCACAGCATGGGGAACCTGGAGGCGCCCTGAAGATTCCTCTTCAAGGGAGGACTGAATGCCCCCAGCAACCAGCAGAGGCCTCCAAATAAATGTCAGCTCCTCCACGCCTGCCTCACTGCAGGGCATGACTCACCACGGAGCCTCTTATCTGTGGTTAAGAGCCTGTGTGTGATGCAAACTCCCTTTGTGAGTGTAGCTCTCCAGACCTGCACTCTGATGCCAGCCCACACAAGGTCATCGGCAATTTGTTTAAAAAAAAAAAAAATAGCTGAATTCTTCCTACACGCTTTTATGTCTCTTCCTGGGCTCTGCCTACTCTCTCCCTGTAGGATCTTGTTTGGTTACCCTGAGCAACCTCCGCTCTCTGATGGCTTCAAGGAGTGTATGTTCTGTGGTTTATCTGCTTTTTCTTGTTTTTCTTGTTGTTTGGATGGGAATAACATTCTTTTCAGGGTTCTATATTCTCAGTGCAGGTGGAACTCTTATAGCTTATTTTTTCACTGTGCTGACTTTAGACGAATCAAATTTTAATATATTCTAATTTACTAAACTCTCCCTCTTTTATGTATTCTCAGCACCTGGTATAAAAAATCTTTCCCCATTCCAAATTATAAAGGCGGTCCCCAATATTTCCTCTTAAATGTTTTTATATTTTGTTTTTCACATTTCACATTAGGAATACAAATGTGTTATTTTTTATTTATGGCATAAAGTAAAGTTTTCTTCTCCCCTCTCATTTGGACTATCCACTAATTTTCTGGGCACCCTTTATTGAGTAGTTTGTCTTTTCTCATACAATTGTCTATAAATTTGGCGTCCATATACGCGTGGACCTGTTTCGGATCTCTACCTTATTGTTTCATTGGTCTACTTACTAAGGCTTGTAAACTTGATATTATAGGAATGTTCTCCTGTTTGTTCAGCCACATCTGGGCTTGGCCTTTTGCTTTTCCACACGGATTCTAAAATCAGCTTGAGCAAGTCCATGAAGAAGCCTCCTGGAGATGTTGACAGAAATTACTCTAGATTTGGGGAACTGGGTAGATACGCAATCTCTACGACATCGAGTCTCTGCACCAACAGACACGGCATTTCTCTCCATCGATTCAGAACTTCTTGAATATCTTTCAAGTTTCAGAATTTTCTCCATAAAGGTCCCATACATATTTTAAAAAGCTCTGTCCCTAGGTATTTATGGTAGAAAATTCTGAGTGGCCCTAAAAATGCAGTCTCCTCTTCTTCCTGGGCACGTGGGTGGACTCTATTTGCCAGGCTCCTCTGCAGCAGGTGTGAACAGGAGGCAGCCCCCTTTCTCCAGAGTCCTTTAAGAGCACGTGCGCCTCCTCCACAGTTAGCACTTGGATGCAGTGACCTCATCATGACCATGTAGGGCTGACAAGGCCCTAAGGGATGGGAGGGTCCTGAGTCCCCACATCAGTCTACAGAGGGGAACAACTTGCTGGCTTGCAACACCCTCTCTGGACAAAGACGTGAAATGAGGGGAGGGGAAAACCAAGCATAGTGTGTTTTTGTGAGACTGAAAATGATTTGGCTGTAGAGATAGAGAAAAAAGCTTTGTGCAGGATATAGACATTTTTCTTTTTTAATTTTTTTTGTAGAGATGGGGTCTCCCTATGCTGCCTAAGCTGGTCTCCAACTCCTGGGCTCAAGCGATTCTCCCACCCTAGCCTCCCAACGTGCTGGGATTACAAGCATGAGACACCAAGCCCAGCCGCAATTTTTCTAGACCTCAAAAGTTGGACTAGATTTGTTTGTATATAAATGAGGATAAAGAAAATTGCAGGCAGAGGCAAGCATGGAGGTGTGGAGGCATGAGCTGTCACAAGAGAAGGGCAAGTAGCACGGCAGTGGACTAGCTTGAAAGGAAGAGGTGGGCAGTGAGGCTAGAAAGAAGGGATGGGACCGCATTGTGGGCAGCCTTGAACTTGGACTTTGCTATGTAATGGGAGTCACTGGAGGTTTTCAAGCATCAGCCTAAATCATTCTGCAAGAAAAACGTCAAACGTTGCCCTTCATTAGGACCCTTTGAATGCTGACAGTTCTTACCCTGCATGCTCAGCAGATAGACACATGCCAAATCGCTTGGTGCCAGTTTCCATGCATCTTCTTATCATAAGCCGATAGCGGGGCTCAAAGACGTGGAGTGGACATGGGACCGTGGGGAAGGCCATGGCACACACAAAGATGGGGACGTCTCTGGTCAGACTGCAGAAGAAAGGGGACATGTTATCTCAGATATATGAGCTGTTAGATCAGAGGGTAGTACTGGCCACCAAAACAGCAAAAGCCAGCCAACCTCAGCTCTCCCCTCTACAAAACAAAACCCTCAGGCTAAGAGGGACAAGAAAGCCAAGGACTATAGCACATGAAAATTCTCTGCTCACCCAGGTTTCCTGACCAATCTGTCTTATTTAACTTGAGAAAGGAGAAGATGCTGAATTATATTACTTTGCTTGGAAAAGTTATACCTTTTAAGCACTCTATAAAAATTATAATAAAAGCAAAAACTGCATAGTACTCAAAGGCAATGAGTTTTAAATAGAAGAGTGGAAGAGTGATAAGATCGCTACTAAAATACAAAACTTTTGCCATTTTAAAAGATGAAAACTGTCAAGCCTGTCGTGATTCGCAATCCTGGGTATTAGTTCTCATTCTCTCTACTTTTTAAAACTGTGCTTCACTTTACTCCATTTTGCAGATATTACATTAAAACAATTTTTGAGGTAAAATATATAATTTACTATTCTTAAGTGTACAGTTCATCAGTAACAAATACATTTATATTATTTGCCTTTTATTTATTTTTAAATATTTTTTTAAATACAGAGATGGGGTCTTGCTATGTTGGCCAGGTTGGTCTTGAACTTCTAAGCTCAGGCAATCCTCCTGCCTTGGCCTCCCAAAATGCTAGTATTATAGGCATGAGCCACTGTGCCCAGCCTTCTTTGCTTTTTAAATCCTGAAAAATTCAGTATCACTTATTGACATACAAAAAGCAACTATATAATTTTGTTAAAACACTGTAAAAATACCTTATTAAAAAAGAAAAAAATTCTTATAACTTCTTGCAATTATGTTTCCAAAAATACTTTACAACTAACATTTGTTTCCATTTACACGCCAAGAGAGTTCTCTGCCATGAAAAGAAAATCTGAGGTGAAGCTGAAGTTGACAAAGTTCAATCTGAACTTAAGACCAAGGACACACAACATGAGCACTTACTTTGACAGTTCTGACATTTCTTCATCATAAATTCTCTTCCTATCAGACAATTCATCCGGCAAATATCGAAATATTAATTCTTCGGCCAGAACAGTTATGTTAAAGTTCCTGCTTGCCAATAACTTCAACAAAAACAAACAAACAAAAATAGTCAAATGATACTGTATGGTAATTGACTCTAAAGGATGAAGCTTCCGTGAGTCAAAAGGTGAACAAAGAGGTGGCGGGTAGGATCTCTGAGCGGGTAAGAAGGAACAGGGATGGAGAGGGAGGCGGGCCAGTCTGTGCCAGGAGCCTGGACAGCCCCTCCGCTGTGAGAAAAGGCCAGGAGGAGGCGTTCACCTGGGCAAAGGATGAGGCAACTCAATCTTGACAGCATCTACATTTTCAACCAAGTGCCCTGATGTTGGTGAGAGGGGAGGGAGTGAAGTAGGGCATGTTGGGAGTGGAGAGACTTTTGCAATGATCAGCTTGGAGAGTGAAGAACTAGAACTACTAGAGAAAGAATGTAAGAATGATTACTCATGTTTTGAGTCTAAGACTTAAAATTGTTAATTTAAACTGACACCAATCTTCCCAATGTTGTGTTTTTTTCTAGCTTTGTTGTGTTACTCAGGATGCATGCAAAAGGCAAAAGTTGACTTTTTTTGGATTGAGATAGAGAGGGAGGGACCATAGATTAAAGCTGAATGTGAGGGAAGGTGGAAGGAGACTGAACAAGAAAGTGCTGGGATCGGTGGGTAGAAGGGCCACAATGTGACTGAACTACTACTCTGTGTGTGCGTGTATGCGTGTGTGCGTGTGTGCACACAGAGTAGTAGTTCGGTAGGCTGCACTGTTTTATTGCAGGCATGTATACTAGCATATAGTAGCTCTTTTCACTGACATTCTGATACACATCAGGACCATTGCAGGTGCTTTATCGGTCCTGAAAACAGTATAATACTATGGTTGTTCTCTCTACTGTGCTCATAAAGCTGTGATTCAGAAAGGGTAAGGGGTCAGTGCTGAGCCACCATGGCATACAAGGACCCCAGGCCTGGCGAGCTTCAGGGCCCTGCTCTTTCTTTGGTGGCCTGCTGTATTTCTGGGCTTGGTACGGCTCCACATATTTCCAACACACAATGGCTGGGTGAGTCCTTCGCATACTGTCAGGTTTCCCTATAGCTGGTGTGAAACAAACTACATGTATTGCTGTGACTGACTGGGAACCAGGAGTTCAAACTTTGGAAACGCCTACGTTTGAGAACCACCATCACAGGGTAACTGGTAGAGAAACACGCTATCACCTCATTCACAAAACTGCTTTATAATTGTCATTATTATATGACATAGGTATTTAATAAATGGTTTATGATGTCCTTTTATTGAAGAGTAATATAATAAAATGTGTTCTACTTGGCATGATGCTAACCAAGGGTTCTGTAGATTCATATATAATTGATGATTCAGGTCCCTGGTAGTGTGTGCAAAGTCGCCTATGCACATGATGTGACTTCTGCATTGAAGAAAGATGAAACTATAATTTTGGATTTTATTTCATTTTATAGTATTCTAATTTCTAATTTCTAGAACATTAGTAATCCATGTATAGTTTACATGTAATCATTCATTCATTCATTCATTCAACAAAGACTTCCAGAGTCTCTGGTGAATGTGCTGGTCCCTGGAAATACAGGGAAAACAGGTCACAGAAAGCTTCAGTACTTAAGCAGCTTCTATTCTACCGCCAACCTCCAGCTATCACTTCTTCACTCAGCCCCCTACAAGGCAGCATTGAAACGGAAGTGAGTAAGGTCTGTGTTGTAAACAGGGCTCACACATACATGCGTTTTATTCTTGTAAGAACAAACGACCTGTTCTGGCCCAGGCAGGCACCAGAACAAGAAGCAATGGGTCCGATGCATCTACTAGCAAGAAGGGACAGCAAATGCCTGGAGGAAAACTGCACAGGGGCCACCAAGGAAACAGCTCTGCAGACTCAGAACACAGCCACCACCGTGACACACAGTGCACAGCACAATAATTGATGTTTATGAGAACTCTGAAGACTTTAAAAAGATTCAGTATGCATGCAATTTAATAAAGCAAGTATGTACATACAATGTTTTAGAAAATGGTTTCAATTGTAACTAGTTATTTTAAAAATGTTTTGGCAGTAAATTTTCAAGGTTATAATTAAGTATAATATCTCCTCTTATCACATCAGATTTAAAGAATAAATTTTACTGTACATTTGTAAAAAGAAAAAAAACTTTATCCTACTTAAAATGCATTCAATAAATTTAATCTCTGGAAAGTAATTAAGGCAATATTATCAGTCTCATTTAATGAATGCAAAACAAAGGAAGATGCTCCCCATCTCCTTAAGATGTTATACGACTTGCTCCATAGAAAGTTAACGGTGCTAATGGGACCACAGCCCAATACAGCTGACATGGATTCACTATTTCAGAAATTGATCAGAAGGTCTTCAGCTTTTAAATATTCTTCATTGTATTTACCATACCTAAAGTAAATGGATTTAATCGTTTATATTGGGGCTAAATATCATTAAATAGCTTCCCCATGGAACCCGATTTTTACCGGTTTTGATTTCAGACCAAAGACAATAATAACTGACAACTGGTAAAAGCCCTAAAGGGACTCACCAGTGGTCAGAAATGATCAAGTCCTCAATCCTACGAAAAACTCTCAAGCTGAAAAAGAGAATTCCTGGAGCACATTAAGTGCACCATGACAATGTCTCAAACATTTACAATGAACGTAATGTAAGGGCTCATAATGTGAGCTATTTTCAATCTATCTCAACTAAAATTTCTACCTAAAAATTTCCTTAACATTTAGCAATTTCTGCATGTAAACCTTCCTTGTGTATTTCTTGATCAATCAAAGAGATGAGAAAAGACCTGTCTTTGGAGAAATCTCACTTTCTTTAACAACTGGGTGGGGGAAGCAATGCAAGACAGGGAATAAGCATCCACCGACGGATGAGAGGAGGAGCTGTCCCGTCATTTCCCAAAACGTACTTACTTCCGAAAGTTTGTCTTTGCACAAAGGACAGTGTGGGGCATGATCAAGGCAGCGCTCAAGGCATTTTAGGCAAAATGTGTGTCCACAGGGCGTAGTGACAGGTTCAAAGAGCAACCTGGAAGAAAATATCTGTTTTCAGCCAGAAATGTCCAGGACAGACTTTCAAATCACGGACTGGTTTTCGAAGGATTCCTTATGCAATCCCCTTACTGTTCTAGAAAACACTTGCATGCACTGCCATTTTATATCCTCTCAAATCTTTAGAAAATAAATGAACTATTACTGAGCTCTCCATAGTTTCCCTGATAATAAAAAGCCCATTACACTTTGGTATACATTTCAGAAAGGCTGAAGTTTTAAAACAGTTGCATGGATTCTGTATCATCCTACCTCATGCAGAGGGCACATTCAAAGTCAGTTACATCAAGCGAGAGCCCCTGACTTTCTTCTGTCTCAGAGTTTGGGCTCCTTTGAGGTGAGAGATCTGAATGTGAAAAAATTTAAAACGCTGTCATTAACACCTAAGCACCTGAACAACACCCAAGCAAGAAATGTATTTCCTCTGGACCAAACGTGTTGTATCAATGTAACAAATCACACTGGGCAGAAATAGTTTCTGTTCAGTTAATAGCATATAGCAATAATTTATCTGGATGGTGGTAAACATGAATAAAATTTAAAATTTTGGCTAAATTTTCTCTGCTATTTTTGACTATGAAGTCCTTGCAGTATAAAACATGTAAAATGCTCTATAATCTTAGAGCTGATATAATCATTTCATTACTAATATTAAATGGTGTAAAAATTTTTTAAATATATTGAATACTAGCTAGCATTCTATCACTTTGGAGTCACAGAACTGCCTGATGAAAATAGTTCACTGACCTTTCTTGGGAATTTTTCCAGGGGCGTTCAGGTCAGGTGCATCCTCCACATCATCTGGAAACTGCCTCTTTAAGCCAGCGCTAGGTGCTGTTGGAAGGATGCTTTCTAACGCCTTTTTATCCTCTTCAAAGTGTAGACCCAGTATAAAATACAAAACTGAAGAATTGGTATTTCCAAGCATATCAGATTTCTCAGATGAATTCTGGTTAAGTAGGAAAAAAAGGAATCCTGAATATTAAAGAAATCATAGCATAAGATAAAAAGAATGCAGTAGCCTGTACTAGAAATCTTTGGGGAAAAAAAAAGGGGGGGCTTATACTCTTCCTTCATAATTGGTTTCATCTATTAATTTCTAAGATGAGCCTCATTCTTTCCACAGTAAAATACAGGATAATTTCTTCCTGAGCTGGGAAAGTGAAAAGTTATCTTCATATGCAATCTGTCTGTCTGTCTGTCTACACACACACGCGCGCACACACACACACGTACACACATAAAATCATATGTCATATTCAAATCATCCCTTTGCTTTATTTTCTCCAAGCCAAAATAACTTCAAGTCTCCTGCCATTTTGCATGATTTGGTGGTGTTCCAAAGCTTCTTTCAATCTTTAATCGTTTTCATTACTTCCACAGACTTCATGTAAAAGTTCCAACTCCCAGGTTAAGGAGCTACAACTGGTCTTGAGAAATATGTCTAACTAACGTAATGCCATAATGTGTGAATAATCTGTAACTGTTCAAAAGGAAGCAATTACATAAAGCTTAATCAAGAGAATCCTGACAAACACATGCCCGTCATACCTCCGAGCTCCCTGCATCCCCTTTTTCCAGCAGAGCCTGGGCACTCGTGTGGCTGTGACCCTGAGCCTTTAATCTGCTTTGGATGGAAGATGTTAAATTTTCATGCACATTTTCTGTAGCTGAAAACAGCACTTCACACATTACCTATAAAATTGCCAAGAAAAGAAAAATATATATATTTTAAAACACTTTTGTGAAAATATAGTGTGTCTTATAGATTCAGAGGAAACTAAGAGGCCAAATAAGCCTAAAACGTGAAAAGAGTAATTTTAACTGCCAACCTTGTAAAATCCAAACATTTTTGAAACCAGAGTCAATGTATTGTTATTTTAGCTTCCAATTCCTTTCCGTCTTACACTTCCCAATGACAAAAGCATTACCACTTCCTTCTACCTGGTCCTTACACACTACATAAAATCTCCCCTAAAAGCCACACAGAAAAGAGAGAAAGGTAGTGTAAAGGTTGCTGGGGGCCTTGAATTAAATCTAAGCTGTGATCACCCACAGGGCTGAGGTCACTATACAGAACTGTTTTATTTATGAGAACCAGAAAAGCCACCAGGTAAAGAACTTTAAAGGAAGAGAGAGGGAAAGGCCATAATTGTGGTTCAAGAACCAGGGAGTGGCATTGGTGGGAGCAGGGGAAGGGTGGACAGCAATGGCCAGTTAGGCTTTCTAGCTGACACCCAGTTCTAGCAGACACTCGAATGGTCCTGTGGTCCTCATGGCCTCAGCTGCATCCAAGGTTTGAGGAAAGCAGACAGGAGTGACTGAAACCTAAACGAAGACTCCTCCCACCCTCCACTGTTCCTCGTGGTTCAAGGTGGATGCACTAGAATCCATGGCCCTGTAACAACGCACACCACCACCCTCAGCAGGGTCATCAATGTCCTCAGCCCCAGCTCTGAGTAGCCTCAGCAGAGCTGCTGGAGATGGAGCCACATTCCATGTGAACAGGCTAACATTGTTTTCGGTACCTTCTGTGATACACGATATCTTTCAGTCATAGAATGCCCAGGGGAAAACACCATGTCTGAAAAAGCTCCAGGTAGACAACAACCCACAAGACCTAAATCCTGATCCAGGAACCTTGGTGAATGTGCTTCACCTCTTTGACCTTCGGCTGACTTTCTCAGAAAAGTGTTATGAGAATCAGTTGAGACATGTTTTAAGATTCTTAGGAAGTTTCCATATAGGACAAAGCAGGCAGGGATAGCTGAACAGCAGGCTGAAGATGCAATATTATTTAGATAAGTTGAAATGATGGCCAAAAACCAATGAGTGACACTGGTCAATTGAACAACTGTCAGGACAACTGAACAGGACTAACATCATTCAACTGCACAAGAGAAGATAAAAAATAACGTTGCTATAAAGTTCCTATTTTAAAAAAAGATGAGCTAGGTACTTAAAAATAAACATGCCCCTAATGTGAACACAAGTGGAGGTAAAATTTTACCAACCGTGGCTGTCAAATATAGATGCTAAAATACAGGGTACATTAGAATGCATCCAGAAGAGGAAATCTTAGAAATGCCACTCTGTGAGAAAAGAATGTTTGGCCCACAAGGTGACATTAAGGCAAAGATAATAGCTGTTCTCAAACATCTTATGTGGTTTGAATTGTACAAGGAAGAACTGATTCATTTTCTGTTGCTCCAGAAAATAGAACTAGACAGGTAAGTAAAAATTACAGAGTAAATACATGGTAGAAGTTGACAATAAACAGAGTTAAAACAGGGAAGCATCATAAAAACATAAAAACTCCTGGTCATTGGAAGTGCTAAGTAAATACCAGGTAACCATCGTATAAGCTTTTTAACAGGATAGATTTCCACATTCAGTGTGACCGGATGATGGGTAAACGAGCAGATATTTCGGCACTATGCTGGTGAAGCTTTGGTGAAAATCACAGGTCGCCCTATAGAGCCGAATTGATACATTTTACATATATCATAATGTCTTTTATAAAGCTTCTGCACAAACTATAATAACCTTGCCTTGTCTCACATGTGTCTTTATGTCAACAGAATCGAGGCATGTTTATGCTGTCTCACGAAACACTCCGCTTTACCCAGGGACAAAATATAATGTTTCCCTAGAAGTTATCCAATGCATGAACCTTATAATTATTGCCGTGGGCTTTTTATCACATCATCACGCACATTCAGAATTATATTTCTTGTTTATTTCACAGGCAAGGGTTACTCAGCAGGGACATGAAGGCTATAAACAAGACCTGAAGGAGAAAGTCCTTTAACAGAACTCTTACCTTCTGTGCTTCTTTCTTCATAGAGTTACACTCAGGATTTAGAGCGAGGCAGTAGAGAAACTGCTTTAACACTTCCTTACTTCTTCCCAATCCAGAAAGAGCCTGAGCTTTTACTTGATGTCCCTAGATTCACCGAAGACAAAGTATACATGTTTAAAACTCAGCATGATTACATACCTGAATACAAACTTCCCTGAACAAATTTATTAAAACAATTTGTTTTAACTTCACATTACATAGAATAAACAAAACCCACCAAGGATGACTCTATCGCTCCTGTCTCTCTCCACCCTGGAAACTTAGCAAACTTCGATAGCTCATAAATACAATCTACAGTCAAAACACAGGAGCTACCGTACCTGAAATATACTGCACAAAGGAGTTCTAAGGGATGTGCTAGGAGAAAACTGGCTATCCACTTTAAATTCATTCAGCAATTACAGGTCACTACCATCTTCCTGCCTTCCAGGAGTTTACAGTCTCATGAGCTAAGACAGACATGACTAAAAACAATTACAATACAAATCATAATATACTAAGCGCCACAATAAAAGTAAACAAAATACAATACAGATCAGTAATTTCCCAGGGCATTTTCTTTTCATCTTATGAATACCATATTTTCTCAAATCTGTAAAAATACTATTTTTGTTTCTTTTTTACTGGTTTACATATAGTTGAAAGACTTTCTCTCAGCACTTGGAATATGTTGTTCCAATGTCAACCAGCTTCCACAGTTTCAGATGAGATGACAACCATAAATATTATCTCCCTGTATGTCATTTTTCTCATTCTCATTTCATGTCATTTTTCTTACTGCTTCTAAGACTTTCCTTTTATCTTTGGCTTACAGCCTAGCCATTTGATTATGATTTGAGTTTATCATTGCTTATAACTTGAATTAACCTTCTCAGGTCTAATATTAATGTTTCCCACTAAATTTGGAAACTTTTCACCCATTATTTCTTCTTTTTTTTCTTGCCAAACATTTTCTGTCTTCTTCTGGGATTCCAATTGCACATATATTGTACCACTTCATATTGTCCCACAAGTTCCCAAGATTCTTTTCATTTTTCTTTAATCTTTTTTCTTTCTGTTCTTTGCATTGAATAATTTCTGTTTCTATAGATCTATCTTCAATTTCACTGGTTGTTTTGCCATGTATAATGTGTTATTAAGCCTACCTAGAAATTTTAAATTTCAGCATTGATAATTTTTATTTCTAGAATTTTTTTTTCTTTCTTTTTTAGAGACAAGGTCTCACTCTGCTGCCCAGGCTGGAATGCAGTGGCATGATCACATCTCACTGTGACCTTTAACTCCTGGGTTCAAACAATCTGCCTCAGCCTCCTGAGTAGCTCAGACTACAGGCACATGCCACCCTGCCTAGCTAATTTTTAAACTTTTTGTAGAGATGGGGTCTTGCGACGTTTCCCAGGCTGGTCTTGAACTCCTGGCCTCAAGTGATCCTCCTGCCTCAGCCTCCCAAAGCATTGGGCATAGATGCATGAACCATGACATCCAGCCAGAATTTCCATTTTTTACAGTTTCCATCTCTCTGTTGAGATTGCTCTTGAGTCAAAGGTACCATACTTTCCTTCAATTCTTTGCAATTTAACTCTTTGAACTAATTCATAATAGCTTCTTCAGAGACTCTTTGTGGAAAATATAATATCTGGGCCCTCTCAGAGACAATTTTAATTGACTGTTCTTTTTTTGTGTGTGTGAGAGTCTTGTTCTCTCACTGGAGTGCAGTGATACAATCTCGGCTCATTGCAACCCCCGCCTCTCAGGTTCAAGGGAGTCTCCTGCCTCAGCCTCCTGAGTAGCTGGTACTACAGGTGCATGCCACCATGCGTGGCTAATTTTATTTATTTATTTATTTATTTTAGTAAAGATGGGGTTTTACCATATTGGCCAGGCTAGTCTCTAACTCCTGACCTTGTGATCTGCCTGCCTCAGCCTCCCAAAGTGCTGGGATTATCGGTGTGAGCCACCACACCCAGCCTCCACAGCTCCTTTTTAAGCCTTGTGGTTCTCCCTGATGCCTATGAAATTTGGAAGTCAGGATTTGGCCAGAGTTGGGAATCATCCACTCTGGGATTTCTCTGCTTTTAGGGATTTCCCCTAATTGTCAGCTGTTCTGTTAGAAGTCTGAACTCCTGGTCCTTTTAGGTGGTGATGCTGAGTGCTTGTCCCAGTACTGTTTTTTTGCAGCTGTAGCTGTGGAGATAGAGAGAACTCAGGGACCAAAAAAAAAAAAAAAACAAACAAACCAACAAAAAACCCACACACAATTCTCATCCCTTTCAGGCGCAGGTTTTTTAGAAACTCTCTTCCAGCTTCTGTTTTTGGAGGCTTTACAGTGTCTTTATTTTTTTCATCCAGTTTTTATAACTGTTTTCCCCTCTGGATTCACACGACTACTTCACTCCTTCACTGTTACCAGAAGTAAACTACTACCCCTGTTACTGTCATTTTTATTATTTCTGCACTAAAATTTCTCCAGAACACTGCTAGCCACTAACGGGTAAATGTGAAGGTCTATTTTCAGGTCCTATCTTACTGCACTTGTCTCTCCACTGTTTTAAATACCATGACTCTTCTGATGGTGCCCAGGTTCCATCTCCAGCACCAGCATGTCTCCTCATGTTTGCTAACTGTCTATTCACCACATCGCTTACCTTGCAGCTCTCGGGAAGAGCAGCCATTTCGAAAGACATGAGTATTCTACACAACAAATCAGCAGTTTCATCCCTGAGCTCCCTGAAGTCTCAAATACACTTCAGACAATCAGGATTCATCTATGGGACCTTACGTTGACAATAAATGTGGCTTGACTCATGTTCTTATTCTCCTTTCACAAAAGCGGAATCACAAAAGATTCCACTTTGGTGGAGCCTGAATCTTACATCATTTGAAAAGTTGTTTAAGGAAAAGTACAAAATTGTTATTATTATTATTTTTTGAGATGGAGTCTCACTCTCTCGCCCAGGCGGGAGTGAAGTGGCACCATCTCGGCTCACTGCAACCTCCACCTTGCAGGTTCAAGTGATTCTCCTGCCTCAGCCTCCAGAGTAGCTGGGATTGCAAGTGTGCACCACCATGCCTGGCTAATTTTTTCCTGGCTATTTTTGTGTGTGTGTGTGTGTGTGTGTGTGTGTGTGTGTGTGTATTTCTAGTAGAGGCAGGGTTTCACCATGTTGGCCAGGCTGGTCTTGAACTCCTGACCTCAAGTGATCCTTCCGCCTCAGCCTCCCAAAGTTCTGGGATTACAGGTGTGAGCCACTGCACCTGGTCAGGAAAAGTACAAAAGTAAGAATACAAAGTTGCTAGGGCCCCTTTCAGGCCTTGTGAAAGTGCCCAACTTTCATGTTTCAGTAGTGTCTAAATTTGCTTCGATTATCAAAAGTTCTGAGAAAATAATACTGTCTTCTATGCACAAAGAACTTCATGTAAAGTTTCAAGTGTTTCATACATGTGCTCAGAATCCCAATCAAGATTTGCAGTTTTGATACCACAGTGCGTCAATAAATATTTATTAACTGAATAAATTAACTGGCTTTTAAGTAATTTTAAGCCTTACAGGTTTGCTGTGTGGGTAAGATCAAACTGATCATGTGCCTGTATCTATTTCTGCAAACGGGCAAATATTTTGCTGGCAATGGCTTATCTCCAGTTGCTCCAAAAGCTTTGAATCATTAGCCATGATGAATATTAGCCATAACTGGATGCTTGAAAGGGCAGTTTTGCTTGAATAAGACACACTGCTGTAACCCAACTCTCCTGAGAGTCTAGAAGTGCTTCTCAAAGTGCTTGGTTCTAAACCAGCTTCCATCTCAGCTTGATCACACTCAGCCACCTTAGTCTTCTCCTCAGTGAACTTACTGCCCATCCCCTTGCCTTACCTTCCAGTAGCACTTCTTCCCCAGTCCTTACTTATAATAATAAACTTAGAATATATCTTTTACTATCGTCAACTTACTTATTAAACTACGTTTTGGCTGAAGCTTCTCTTCACTGGGCATCTGTCAAGAATTGAGGTCCACAGGTTTGCAACAGACCCTGCAGATATGGCCATCATCTCATACCACCTCATACACTAGATATTCATTTGCTGCCTCCCTTGAAAAGTTACAATTAGCCACGTACCTCTGTAGGAATTAAGTCTATCTTTCGTCAGAGACACACTGTCAAGTTTTTAGCTCAAAGAATAATACTATGGAGAGGAATCTAGCGTCAGAGGGCAATGCAGGGCTGCTGTCAGTCAGAAATAATAGTTATAATTCATAAGAACTAAGGCTTGATCATTACTGATAGAAATTAACTCAGAAGAAGAGTGGCAGGGGAGAGGAACTGGGGACATGTCGGTCAAAAGATACAGAATTTCAGTCAAACAGGAGAAATAAGTTCAAGAGATCTATTACAATACCATATGTTGACTATGGTCGATAATAATGTATTGCATTCTTGAAAACTGCTGAGAATAGATTTTAAGTGTTCTCACCACAAAAATGGTATGTGAGGTAACGCATATGTTAATTAACTTGAATTTGCCATTTCTCAGTGTATACATGTTTCAAATCAACATATTGCACCTGATAAATTATACAAGTTTGTGTTTGTCAATTGAAAACATAATTTTAAAGAAGAATGGATGAAGGCGTAGGAGAAAAGGCATTCGAAATTGGAGTCTAAACTTCTTTTATAGGAAAGCAAACAAGCAACAAAATAGATTTCTGAGCTTAGTCCAACAAACATCTGCTTCCATCCTGAGCTTATTCCTAGGTTGAACTTGACACTCAAGCTAACCTGAAAATATTTGTTTTAAAAGATGGGAGGGAGGCCGGGCGCAGTGGCTCATGCCTGTAATCCCAGCACTTTGGGAGGCCGAGGCGGGCAGATCACGAGGTCAGGAGATTGAGACCATCCTGGCTAACACAGTGAAACTCTGTCTCTACTAAAAAATACAAAAAATTAGCTGGGTGTGGTGGCAGGTGCCTGCAGTCCCAGCTACGCGGAAAGCTGAGGCAGGAGAATTGCCTAGCCTAGGTGACAGAGCGAGACTCCACCTCAAAAAAAAAAAAAACAGGTGGGAGGGAAAAGGGCAGGCTTCCCAGAACTTGTCTACTAACCTGGCTTAATGTCTCTTTAATGTTTCTAAAACAAAGGTGATATAAAGTAATAGAGCAGAATAAATATTTTTAATTATTCACTGACTAATAGAGCATGCTATAGCTGGTAATTTCATCACAAGCTCTTCAAAACTTTAACATTCAAAGATTCATGAAAAAGCTTTTATTCTTTGGCTTCTTGAACTTCTTTAAGTACTACTTAAGCTATCATTATTAGATCAGCAAAGTTTGTTTTTTGTCATGAGAGAAACATTAAACCTTTCCAATCAAAACACAGAGACTAAAATTAGTGTAAAATGTGCACAAAATGTTACCTCTTTCACCAATAGCATTGATTTGTTCATATGCATATTAGGATCCAACAGCTAACCAGGATCATTATGTGATCTTCCTATTTACGCTGCAATTTTAAATATTTTTTTCTTCACTTACAACTTTATAAAATTTGATTTTATTTATATATTTTTTCAATGCAGCCAGCATATTATTCAGCTAAATTTCTATTAAGTGTAACCAAAATTTGTGTTTCTCAGCTAAATTCAGTCGGAGATTTAGTCTTTTAAATCAGGTTGCTTTAGTATGAGGTAAGGATTGCTAAATGTAGGCTACAGTAATTTGAGGGAAACATACTTTGTCTACAGGTACCTGATCACAATAATCTTATTTTTATTTTTAAGAAAATGGTATAAACTTCACATTGATTATCTCCAAAGCGAACACATACAAATACCTTAATCAAGAGAGGTTCATTCTGACAGACTGCACTGGCATCCTGGAACGCTTGCTCATAGTTCTTCATGGTCAAATATAACTCTGCCCGCAGCAGTAATAATGAATTATCATCAGGAGCTGAAAGACAGGAGGAACACAAATCAATAAAAATGACCGCATTTAAAAACAAGCAATCTTAATGTCATTACATATATTAAAGTGTATATATACATACGTATAAAGTATAAAGACAAAATAAGAAAGAATTGCTCCCTCCAATCATATTTAGAGTTTAGTTATTTGGGAAGTATATTTTTGACAGCTCCTCTCAGGAAAACAGGAAGAAGATTAACAAGACTTGAAAAAGCACCAAGAAAAACGGAGTACCACTGAGTACTCCTACACACACACACAAGCTACATCATCTCCAATAATAAATTCAGCAACGGCTGAATCCTCTTACTGCTACAGCTCGGTATTTTTAGAAGAGATTTAAAATGATTTTTTATGAAAGTATGCAAGGAAATTCATGTTTAAGAAACAGAAAAGTAAAACATTTTATTTTTTTTCAGACATCGAGTCTCGCTCTGTCGCCCAGGCTGAAGTGCAATGGCGTGATCTCGGCCCACTGCCATCTCTGCCTCCTGGGTTCAAGCAATTCTCTTGCCTCAGCCTCCCCAGTAGTGGGGATTACAGGTATGTGCCACCATGCTCGGCTAATTTTTGTATTTTTAGTAGAGATGGGGTTTCACCACGTTGGCCAGGCTGGTCTCAAACTCCTGACCTCAGGTGATCCACCCGCCTCAGCCTCCCAAAGTGCTGAGATGACAGGTGTGAGCCACTGCGCCTGGCCCATAATTTGTTTTTCTACACAACTTACAGATGCTGATTTGTCCCCATAATTGTACCTAGAGTACATTCTCTTAAGGAAAGAAAGAAAAAAAAAACTCCTTTCTCTGCATTCCTCAACAGCAGAGGTCCTGAAAATGACTCACACGCTGCCACAGACTTAAGTCCAGCTACATAGAAGCCAAAACTGGCTCTCTCTTTGAACTGACTTGCAGTCTACAAAGTATTGACTTGGCAGAGTCCCATGGCAAAGGCAGGAAGCCAGACCTCAGAAAGACAGAACCATCACAGCCTTTTTCCTTACTGTGGGGCCTGGCTCACTCTACCTACGCCCACCTACGATCCTTGTAGGAGGGCTACAGCTATGCATTTTAGTTCAACCACACATTTTCTGAGCTCCTAAGATGTGTTCTCATCCCTCTACCTAATGTACGTTTTCAGTTTCCTCCAAAATCTCAACCTTGATTCTTTTCAAACTACCCCCTTGGTCCTTTCCAAATGCTACTAGCCTCCTTTTAGTTGATGTAGGTAACTGAGCAAGCCTGCACCAGAGAACTGACGCATCAAGACATTACACCAAGACATGGTGAAAAGTAACTACTTATAAATGTGTCATCACCACATATAGGTCACATAGAGAAGGTATAACAAGAAAAAAGTAGAAGTGGAAAGAAATAGCAAGAGTTAAAGAATACAATTTGAATTATTAAAAGAGACATGGCTGGGTATGGATAACTGGCTAGAGCAGGTGGCAGAAACTTGTCTTCTGTAACAGGCCAGATAGTAAATATTTTAGGCTTTGTAGGCAAAGAGGCAAATGGAAAGATATTATATAGATACTTGTTTAACAAGAAGGAAAAATTTTCACAGATTTCTTATTGACGCAATTTAAAATATGGTAAGGATAATAATTTAAGTACGTTTTTGGAATACAGATAAACTAATGAAAGAATGGAATTCTGGTTTGGGGAATAACATTTTTCTTAATTAAGTTCCCAAGTTAGTGTTTCCTATGATCAAAACAACTGAAAATATTCATCTGTTAATTATGATCGAACATGAGATTTTATGTATTTCATCTTTGAAAATGCGCATAGTAACTCTGAAATGCTGGCATCAATTCATATGATTTTAAATTGAGCATTTTAATTGCTGAGAAGACATTATAGAATTCTATTAGATTCTCCTCATGATATCTGCCTTTTTAGCATGTCATTAGATTATTTCCAACTAAAAGACTGGTGAAAGTGCCTCAATCTCACAGTTAAATGCATTTTGAAATACACAGTTCTCCTCTGGAGATTTCTGGAAATCTACAAAAAAAAAATGTGCTCCTAGAAGTATAGTTTTTTAGGCTTGGGTTATATCTGCTGCAAATCTGTGTGAGAATGGATATCTCGTATCCTGTTTCCACTTGGCTAAAGTTTCTTATTAGTCCAATCCGCCAATGGATTCTCTGGAATGTTTTAAATAAGAATGTCATGCACAATTCGCTCTGACTTTTTCATTCTAGTATTTATACATTGTACCTCCTATTTCCTCATACTCTCATATTGCAATAATAGTGACAGCATTTTCTCTTATTCTTGAATTTAAAACGTGTGTCTAATGTTTTAACATAAAATATGTTTGTTGTAAGTTTCTGAGAGAAAATATTTATCCAGTTAGGTGATTTCTCTCCTATTCCTAGTTTTCTGTAAGGACTTTATAACAAGTAGGTGTTAATTTTATAGACTGCTTTCAGCATCTGAGAGATTACATATCGTCTATCTCCTTCAACCTGTTGTGGTGAATTACTCTGAAAGATTTCTCTAGTACTGGATTATCCTTATGGCCCTAATATAAGCTCTTCTTGGTCTTAACTCTTATTACACTGCTGGACTCAAACTACTAAGAAATTTAATTAGGATTTTGACATCTATGTACATATGTAAGACTAGCCTACACATTTTTTTTTTCTTGTGCGAGCTTTACCTGATTGTGGTGTCAAGATTATACTAACCTTATTAAATGAGATGAAAATCTTCCCACATTTTTCTATGATCTGAAATAAGATGGAAATCAGTCATTGAAAGCTGTAAGGACTTGCTTGACCTTAGCACCTTTTCAGCAGAAGAGAATCCCTGAGTAGTATTATCATTTTTTTATAGGTTCATGTCAGCCTTTTACTTCTTCAGGGATAAATTTTGATAATTTGTATTTTACTTAAAATTGTCCTTTTTATATAAGTTTTAAAATCTTCTATAAATATCCTTTTATATCCGCAATTACGCTTCTTTATTCCTGATGGTATTTATGCCTTGCTTTTTCTTCAACACATTTGTCAAATATTTGTCCCTTAATGGTCTTTGTAATGAACCAGTTTCTGACCTGTTAACTAAGTCAATTTTTTTCTGTTTTACTAATATCTTGTTCATTATTCCTCTGCTTATACTATCTTTGCGTTAGCTTAATTAATCTTGATAAAGCTTCCAGGGTTAAAAATACATTTCATTTACATTTATTTTTAATCATTCTTTTTTATATTTAAGTTTCTACTCACATTCTAAAGGGTGCTTTAACTGAAGTCCAAATTTCATAAAATTCACACCTCCCATCTACACTTGATCTTAGCCAAAAGGCCAAAAAACAAACACTTCTCATCTAGACACTGAATGAATCAAACTGTTTTCTCTGTTGGCTTCCACCATTTGGTGATACATTTGTGAGGACAGCACTTCACAATTTAGTCTTTTAAAACACATAAAATAAATGCCTACACATTTTCTAAGGATTAAACCTTAGGCTTAACAAAACTAAAGGAATTCTCCAAGGATCACTCAAAAATAAGTAGAAGAGGAAGTGCACATTTAAAGTCTGTGTGTAGACAAAACATATGGAAGAAAAATGTATATATGTACTTCCCAAGGAATTGATGCAAAATTTCAGTAGGTTCACCAATTAACCCCTCTATGGGGAAAAGTCGTAAGAGGGCAGCCTACGACCCAGGCTTTGAGAGGAAAAGAAGAGATGTCTACCACATCTGTGTTTAGGGTTCACCAAAGGCTGTCTTCCAATTGCAACCCAGAGCCACTGTTGTACTAGGAGCTAGGGTTACAGCTATAAAATTTGTCAAATGTGTGCAGTGGTGAGAAATGGAGAATTATATGTTATTTTAAATGAGTTAAATGAACCAGGCATGGTGGCTCATGCCTGTAATCCCAACACCTTGGGAGGCCGAGGCGGGCAGATCACTTGAGGTCACAAGTTTGAGACCAGCCTGGCCAACATGGCGAGACCCCATCTCTACTAAAAGTAAAAAATTAGTCAGTCATGGTGGCACGTGGCTGTAATTCCAGCTACTTGGGAGGCTGAAGCACAAGAATCACTTAAACTTGAGAGGTGGAGGTTGCAGTGAGCCAAGACTGTGCCACTGCACTCCAGCCTGGGTGACAGAGTGAGACCCAGTTTCAAATAAAGAAACAAACAAACAAACAAACAAACACATAAAGTAATAAAAACTGGGTAGTGTTCCCTGTGAAAAGAAAGAATGGCAATACTCCTCAAAGCCTATTTATTCAAATTGATGGGAGACTGTAATTACAGAGTCAAGCCCACAAATCTTAGGTGTGTATCTTGAACTCTTACATATGCACCCGTGCCATCATCACACCAATCATCCCCAGGGCCTAAGCGGGTTCCCTTGTGCACTATCCCACTTAGTGTGCACTGCTAAAGGTAACCACCATTCTCACCTCTGTCACTTTGGATTACTTTTTCCAGTTTTCTAACTTCTCTAAATGGATAATTATAAATGGAATGTACTTTTTTTGTATCTGACTTCTCACTAAATTATCATTCTGTGAGATTCATTCATATTGTTATATGTCTCGGTAATATTTTAAAATTAATCTTTCAATAAAATTTAAAAATCACTGTGTAATATTACACTGTAGGATTGATTTATTTACTCATTCTACTAGTGACGAACAATTGAACTGCTCCCCAAATGTTTCTGGCATATATAAACAAAGCTGTAATGAATATTCCTGTACACATATTTTGATGGACATAAGCATTCATTTTTATCTAGGAATATACTCAAAAGTATAAATGCCACATCAGAGGTTGTATGAGTTTTGCTCTAGCAGGTGCTACCAAACATATTTCTTAAGTTGTCACACAAACTTATGCTTCCACCAGTAATTTAAGAGTTCCAATTGCTGCAAATAAAAACGAATTATTGCCAGTTCTTTTCATTTCAGCTACTCTGGTGGGAATGTACTAACTTATTTTCATTTTAA